GTTCATCATTCCATAATTTGGGCCAGAAATGTAAATTTTTGTTACCCAAATGCTTCTTGTGTTGTTTTACAGATATACGTTAGATGTAGTCATGGTAATACGTTCCACGTACATGTATTCAAATAACATATGATGACGAATAATGTAGTAGATAAGATTAAGGATGGGTTCCCGTCAGGATGGAGTGGACAGCATCGGTCACACTTATACACGTTCTATGTGCATTTACTGACACAAAACTACATTATCTGAATTACAGGAAACAAGCTAGGTCTGTATTATCCAATTTATATATCACTATGATACCATGATTTACTAGATTAGACGATTCACTGCCTGGCCGAGAATCTAGGTGCGAACAAGGTTTTCAGAAAATAAACAATCATAAGATTCTTGGACTTGCGTATAATATAGGAGAAAACCTGTGATTAATTTGTTATTATTATACTTTATTTTCGTTGACCTATATTGACTCGGTGAAACACGGTTAATATAAATTAAGGTAGAGATGCAGTTTACCTGACAGGTATTTTAATTAGTTAATTAGGAAACCAAGATGACCTCCCTTGTCCAAAAAACTATATATTTTCGGAAAGCTTATTGTATGCATTTTATAATTTTGTTAGTATTTTTTTTTCATGGACACTGTAGTTTGAAATATGCACAAAAATGTGCCCAGGCTAGTTGTCTGTACGATTGTTGTAAGACTGTTCAACAATGCCTCGACGGCGTTTTGAAAATAAACACATTGTCAATCATTTGTGAAAATTTCAAAATAAAAGGTCAAAGCGTCTAGGAGCTATTTTTTTTTAAAGTTCTGGGATGTGCACAAAAAAGAAGCTGAGATAATTGCTAATTTGCATAACAATTCACTCAGTAAAAAGTTTGCTAATGCTCATAATTAAAATGGCTGTAACAGTTCCAAATTTAAATGTATTATCGTTTTGTTAAAAGTTAAATATAGTGCATAATATGGAGATCCCGTCATTTCTTTTTTTCACCATGTTTCTTTTTGATTATTTATGTACAGCCTTGCTAAATCTTGCTAAGCATTCAAAAGAGAGAATGATTGCACCTGTTATCTATATTTTAAAATCGCTTTTTGAGTATTTTCCACTATTCACAATTCTACAAAATGTTAACAGTTTATAGCAAAGACTATTTGGATAATAAAAAGCAAAAAAAAAAAAAAAAATTCTCCCAAGTGCCCACGAACCTGCATCTCTACCTTAAATGTGAAGTCTTGCGTATATAATACGTTGATAGGTACAACCATTATAATGCCTAGCAGTGTGTGCTCTGTGAAGAAAGATCATTACATTCACTGTAGTCAATCTCTGGCTAGCTAGAAGTATGCCTCGATTGTTTTCGCATGAATAATACGTTTTTTTAATTATAATCGTTACGTCAAAACAAATATACCGCATACATAATAAAATGGTGTTATTTTACTGTGAATGGTTCACATTGGGGACTATTTCAAAACAAATCATATTTTTCCGATGGAACATATTAAAAGTGTCATCTGTGCAAAAAAGTTGTATCCTGCTTATATGGCTGGTCGTTTAGTTTTGGTAAAATAAATTGATAATTTTCATAAATAGGGAATTTGTATAATTAACTAAATGGCAAACACACGACCCAGCAAGGTATGTATTTTTAAAATCACCAGGCCTCATTTAAAATTTTGTTGTTTATGTTTGTATTTATACTCTAGTGACGCATTCAAATATAAAATGTAAAAAAAATAAGGTTCACGACTACGACGTGATGAACACAATAAGCAACGAAACGTATAACATTTTTAATGAAAAAAAACGACTAAATATAAATAGGAAACTATAACTACTAAAATATGGCAGTGGGAACATCTATTTACTAATATCAGGCTAAAA